TAAGGGTGGGGGGTTTTTTTTTTTTTGAAAAAATAAATTCTATTACCCTCAAAGAAAAGCCCCATTAAAAATCCTTTTAAGATAACATTAAAACCAAACTTTCCCCGATTATAAAAATAAAATACAAAATGTGATTTTAAAGAAAAAAAAAAATATCATAGCGGTAATGGCAGTCAATCCAAGAAGTTCCCTTGCTCAGTAAGTCAAGGATAGATACGTGAGCGAACGGGGCCCGGCATATTTCTTGTCAGTTCAATCCCCTTAAGAGGTGTTTGTGGAAGGATTTTGCGAAAATTTAAATGTGGATTAGTTTCCAATATGATAATCTCTTTCTGACATGTAACAATTCCTGGAAACCAAATATCTCGAGGTCTAATACTTCTTGATGAAAATTTCATTGGACCCCTGATGATGTTGGTACATAGAAATAGGTATAGATACGCATAAAAGAAGAAGAGAAGAAGAAGAAGGAAGAAGAGGAAAGAAGAGAAGAGAGAGAGAGAGAGGAGAGAGAGAGAGAGAGAGAGAGAGAGAGAGAGAGAGAGAGAGAGAGAGAGAGAGAGAAGGAAGAAGAGAGAGAGAGAGAGAGAGAGAGAGAGAGAGAGAAGAGAGAGGAAGGGAGAGAGAGAGAGAAAGAGAGAGAGAGAGAGAGAGAGAGAGAGAGAGAGAGAGAGAGAGAGAGAGAGAGAGAGAGAGAGAGAGAGAGAGAGAGAGAGAGAGGAAGGAGAGAGAGAGAGAGAGAGAGAGAGAGAGAGAGAGAGAGAGAGAGAGAAGAGAGAGGAGAGAAGAGAGAGAAGAGAGAGAGAGGAGAGAGAGAGAGAGAGAGAGAGAGAGAGAGAGAGAGAGGGAGAGAGAGAGAGAGAGAGAGAGAAGAGAGAGAGAGAGAGAGAGAGAGAGAGAGAGAGAGAGAGAGAAGAGGAGAGAAAGAGAGAGAGAGAAGAGAGAGAGAGAGAGAGAGAGAGGAGGAGGGAGAAAGAGAGAAGAGAGAGAGAGAGAGAGAGAGAGAGAGAGAGAGAGAGAGAGAGAGAGAGAGAGAGAGAGAGAGAGAGATTGTGATAACAAATACAAACTGAATATAAAACAGGGACGCAAAGCAATCGGGAAAAACGGAACCCCCAGTGAACCACCGAGAGGCGAAAAGGAAATTGAAAGGAAAGGGACAATACAGAGCAAAAGTACCGAAGGAGTCAATGTCTGTGAGTTTTATATATTGTTTTATTCTTTTAAGAAAACAGTCATAGAGAAAGGAATGATATCATAAATGTATTGTAAATATATGGTGACAAAGATTCTATAATGTAATGGCATATAAATAGTATTAACACAAAACCGATAATCAAGCAATACCTTCAGATTTACATATACTAAAAAGGCTATATGCATTTTTCGTGCCCAGTGATGACTGACGTCTGTGGAGACAAGATCATATTGGGTTATAATGAATCTGTTATAATCTACAGCAATAACGATCGGCAGTCTAGATCATGTCAGCTGAAAGTAAAGGTTAGTTTGATTTTAATGAAATATTGGCAAGATACGGAGCAAATGAGCCTAAATCAACCTGGGAAGATCATTATTATCATAACACAGCATTACACAGAATCAAAATAAAGAAAACATGAAATAATTACATATTTGCTTTTTAATAAACACAATTCCTGGTTTTAGTAATCAAGTAATAGTTGTTTGTCCTCTGTGAGTTTCGGTCCCAATTATTACTTCATATTTTCATTCATTTTTTCTCTCTCAATGCTTCTTGCTTAAGGTTGGTCGCCTTTGCACTTTAACTCTTATTTTCAATCTCTGTTATGTATTTTCCCTTTCTTTCTTGCCCCTTCTTCACCATCTTCATTTACCCACTCACCCTTCATTTTGTGTCTCATAATCGGATCGGGAGAAATGTTTCTAGGTGTGGCTATGTGAATTTAGGTAGCTTAGGAGGACATAGATTGGACTCTTTGCTAAGAAAGGCAAGTCATGTCGAACAAGCGATTCCAACCAAGTTAGCCAGATGTTTATTCACCTCTGACGTCACTTCTTGGGCATGATCGCTCGTCTAGTTTGGGACCATCGGGTCAGTGAAGGAACAGGGAAATCGATCTTGCCATGCTGTGTAAATATGGCTATACATCAGAGAGAATAACTATCGCAATAGATATTTTGATTAGAACCTCAGAAGTTATGTAGGTCTGCAGCAGTTCTTAGAAAAATATGACTGAAAACCATCTGTTTCCTATTAATTTAGTTCGACGTCTGATCACATATCATGCCGATCTATTTTATCGAGGGATTCACGTTGCGCAAGTCTGTCAAGTGGTTTTCAGCTGTCAGATCATTTGATGAACTAACGGCATATACAGGTGTTGAGGAATCAAAAGTAAATATTTTAGTAAAGAATGCTTCAACTTTGCTTGTTTTTTTATACGGTATGCAAGAATTATTGCCATTTTCAAAATTTCTTCAATGTTTGCATGTAGTTTAACGCACCTTTAAATTCTTT